GAAGCTAGATGCAAGCGCATCGATGCAAAGCGGTCAAGCTCAACTCACTCGCGTCGATGCAAAGTGGTGAAGCTCAACGCAATTGTACCGATACAAAGCGGTGAGGCTCGACGCTCCCATTTTGATGCAAAGCAGTGAAGCTCGACGCACACGGATCGATCCAAAGCGGTAAGGGTCGACTGCTGCGCATCGATGCAGAGCGCTAAAGCTCGACTCACACGCATCAGTGCAAAACGGTGAAGCTCAACGCACCTGCACCGTCGATGCAAAGCGATGGTCAACAGACCTGCACCGACGCAAAGTGGTGAAGCTCAACGCTGCCGCTCTGGTTCAAAGCGGTGACGCTAGACGCACGCACATCAATGCAAAGCGGTAAGGACCGACTCACGCTCGTCGATGCAAAGCGGTCAAGCTCAACGCACTTGTACCGATGGAAAGCTGTGAAGCTCGACGCTCCCGCTCCAATGCAAAGCGGTGAAGCTCAACGCACGTGCACCGATGCAAAGCGCTCAAGCTCGACGCACGCGCATCAATGCAAACCGGTAACGGTCGCAGCACACGCGCCGATACAAATCGGAGAAGCTCAACGCACCAGCTGTGATGCAAAGCGGTGAAGCTCGACGCACGCCCATCAATGCAAAGCGGTGAAGCTCGACGCACGCGCGTCGCGCGTCGATGCAAAGCGGTGAAGCTCAGTGCACCTGCAGCGATGCAAACTGGTGAATCTCGACACTCCCGCTACTATGCAAAGCGGTAAAGCTCGACGTACGCGCATTGATGCTAAGCGGTAAGGCTAGACTCACGCGGGTCGATGCAAAGCGATGAAGCTCGAAGCACACCTGCCGATACAAAGCGGTGAAGCTCAACACACCTGCACTGATGCAAAGCTGTGAAGCTCGATGCTCCTGCTCCGATGCAAAGCACTGAAGCTAGACGCACGCGCATCAATGCACAGCGGTAAGGCTCGACTCACGCACGTCGATGCAAAGCGGTGAAGCTCAATGCACTTGTGCCGATGCAAAGCTGTGAAGCTCGACGCTCCGGCTTCGATGCAAAGCTGTGAAGCTCGACGCTCCCACTCCAATGCAACGTAGTGAAGCTCAACGCACTTGCACCGATGCAAAGCGCTGAAGCTCGACGCAGGCTCATCAATGCAAATCGGTAAGGCTCGAAGCACACGCGCCGATACAAATCAGAGAAGCTCAACGCACCAGCTGCGATGCAAAGCGCTAAAGCTCGATGCACGCGCATCGATGCGAAGGGGTGAAGCTCGACGCACGCGCGTCGATGCAAAGCAGTGAAGATCAATGTACCTGCACCGTCGATGCAAAGCGGTGAAGCCCGACACTCCCGCTCCTATGCAAAGCGGTGAAGCTCGACGTATGCGCATTGATGCAAAGCGGTAAGGCTACACTTACGCGGGTCGATGCAAAGCGATGAAGCTCGAAGCACACCTGCCGATGCAAAGCACTGAAGCTAGACGCACGCGCATCAATGCACAGCGGTAAGGCTCGACTCACGCACGTCGATGCAAAGCGGTGAAGCTCAATGCACTTGTGCCGATGCAAAGCTGTGAAGCTCGACGCTCCGGCTTCGATGCAAAGCTGTGAAGCTCGACGCTCCCACTCCAATGCAACGTAGTGAAGCTCAACGCACTTGCACCGATGCAAAGCGCTGAAGCTCGACGCAGGCTCATCAATGCAAATCGGTAAGGCTCGAAGCACACGCGCCGATACAAATCGGAGAAGCTCAACGCACCAGTTGCGATGCAAAGCGCTAAAGCTCGATGCACGCGCATCGATGCGAAGGGGTGAAGCTCGACGCACGCGCGTCGATGCAAAGCAGTGAAGATCAATGCACCTGCACCGTCAATGCAAAGCGGTGAAGCCCGACACTCCCGCTCCTATGCAAAGCGGTGAAGCTCGACGTATGCGCATTGATGCAAAGCGGTAAGGCTACAGTTACGCGGGTCGATGCAAAGCGATGAAGCTCGAAGCACACCTGCCGATACAAAGCAGTGAAGCTCAACACACCTGCACCGATGCAAAGCTGTGAAGCTCGACGCTCCCGCTTCGATGCAAAGCGGTGAAGCTCGACACACACGCATCGATGCAAAGCGGTAAGGCTCGACTCACGCGCGTCGATGCAAAGGGGTGTAGCTCAACAGACTTGCACTGATGCAAATCTGTGAAGCTCGACGCTCCCGCTCCAATGCAAAGCAGTGAAACTCAACGCACTTGCACCGATGCAAAGCGCTGAAGCTCGACGCACGCGCATCAATGCAAACCGGTAAGGCTCGAAGCACACGCGCCGATACAAATCAGAGAAGCTCAACGCACCAGCTGCGATGCAAAGCGGTAAAGCTCGACGCACACGCATCGATGCGAAGCGGTGAAGCTCGACTCAAGCGCGTCGATGCAAAGCAGTGAAGCTCAATGCACCTGCACCGTCGATACAAAGCGGTGAAGCCCGACACTCCCACTCCTATGCAAAGCGGTGAAGCTCGACGTACGCGCATTGACGCAAAGCGGTAAGGCTACACTCACGCGGGTCGATGCAAAGCGATGAAGCTCGAAGCACACCTGCCGATACAAAGCGGTGAAGCTCAATACACCTGCACCGATGCAAAGCTGTGAAGCTCGATGCTCCTGCTCCGATGCAAAGCGGTGAAGCTCGACACACACGCATCGATGCAAAGCTGTCAGGCTCGACTCACGCGCGTCGATGCAAAGGGGTGCAGCTCAACAGACTTGCACTGATGCAAAGCTATGAAGCTCGAGGCTCCCGCTCCAATGCAAAGCAGTGAAGCTCAACGCACTTGCGCCGATGCAAAGCGCTGAAGCTCGGCGCACGCGCATCAATGCAAACCGGTAAGGCTCGAAGGACACACGCCGATACAAATCGTAGCTTAACGCACCAGCTGCGATGCAAAGCGGTAAAGCTCGACGCACGCGCATCGATGCGGAGCGGTGAAGCTCGAAGCGACGCGCGTCGATGCAAAGCAGTGAAGCTCAATGCACCTGCACTGTCGATGCAAAGCGGTGAAGCCCGACACTCCCACTTTTATGCAAAGCGGTGAAGCTCGGCGTACGCGCATTCATGCAAAGCGGTAAGGCTGGACTCACGTGGGTCGATGCAAAGTGATGAAGCTCGAAGCACACCTGCCGATACAAAGCGGTGAAGCTCAACACACCTGCACCGATGCAAAGCTATGAAGCTCGATGCTCCTGCTCCGATGCAAAGTGGTGAAGCTAGACGCACGCGCATCAATGCAAAGCGGTAAGGCTCGACTCACGCGCGTCGATGCAAAGCGGTGAAGCTCAACGCACTTGTGCCGATGCAAAGCTGTGAAGCTCGACGCTCCCGCTTTGATGCAAAGCGGTGAAGCTCGACACACACGCAACGATGCAGAGCGGTAAGGCTCGACTCAAGCGCATCGATGCAAAGGGGTGAAGCTCAACAGACTTGCACTGATGCAAAGCTGTGAAGCTCAACGCACTTGCACCGATGCAAAGCGCTGAAGCTCGACGCACGCGCATCAATGCAAACCGGTAAGGCTCGAAGCACACACGCCAATAAAAATCGGAGAAGCTCAACGCACCAGCGGAGATGCAACGCCACCTGGGACACCCTTGACCTCTGTGCCCTCCGTGCTCGAGTGGGGCGTGACCGTGCTATCATCTGCGGGGACTTCAACGCCCACTCCGAAGCATGGGGGGACCGCAAAACGAATTCCCGAGGCAAGCGGCTACAGGAAACGCTAGAGAGAGTGGACCTCCTGAACATCACGGGGGGCTTCCCCACCTACATCGGCCCCGGTGCGGGGGGCAGCGTGATAGATCTGACCCTCGTCACACCGGGCCTGCGACTCTCTGCGCGCCCTCTCCCAGACAGCTGGGGCAGTGACCACCTCCCCATCGTGGTGGGCACCCCCAAGAAGGCCCCAATGAAGGTATGCAAAATCACCGACTGGGACCACTACCGGGCACTGATCGCCGAGGGGGCGGCGGCCGGATTGCCCTTCACCTCCCAGCTTATCGAGGACGCCGTGCGAGCAGCGACGAGGACCGTCCAGGTGCCCAGCACCCGCCCAGACCCCGACCTCCTGTGGCTCAAACTCCGCGCCCGCAGAAGGCAGGCCCAGCGCCGCTCATGGCGAACCAGCCACCCTGAAGACATCCTAGCGTACAAGCGCCTCGACGCGGACTTCAGGCGCCATGGGCGACGACTAGCCAGGAGACAGTGGCGTCTCCTGTGCGCCTCCTTCGGGGCCCCAGGAGGGGGAAAACGTGCGTGGAAAATGGTGCGGACGTTGGGCGGCCTCCCGGTCCCGCGCAGCCCCGTGCTCTGCTTGGCAGCACACCTACATCTGTCCCCGACCGAGATGGCGAATTTCCTGGCGGACTCGCTCTTCACGGCCCCCACCCCCCCTCCCCCGGGCACGCCACCTCCCATGTGGTGGATGTTTGAGGCCCCGACGGCCCCCGCCATGCGGGCCCCCGACGCGGACTTCAAACTGCACGAGCTGCGGCACGCGCTGCAGTCCGCCCCGCGCCGACGCACAGCACCAGGCCCCGATGGGATCACCGCCCAAGCCCTCCGGAACCTGGACGAGGGGACCCTGCCACAACTCCTGGCCTTCTTCAACAACATCTGGCGAACGGCCAGGCTCCCCAGCGAGTGGAGGGAGGCTGTGGCAGTCCCCATCCCCAAGCAAGGCAAGGACCCCAACAACCCAAGCTCATACAGGCCCATCTCTCTGACGTCATGCCTCGGAAAGACAATGGAGAGAATGGTCCTGCGCCGCCTCAACTACCACCTCGAGGCGGCAGGGGCCTTGCCTGAATGCTTCTCGGGGTTCCGGACCAAGCGCTGCACGGCGGACTCCATCGGGGACCTCGTCAGCTCGCTCGAAGAGGCCAAGGCGAGGGGACACTCCGCGGCACTGGTCCTACTCGACATACGCCAGGCCTTTGATGCGCTGCCGCACGCTCCGATCATCGACGCCCTGCGGAGGCTCGGGGTCACCGGGCGGCCGCTGGGATTCGTCCAGGCGTTCCTCGGCGGCCGCACGGTGACCGTCAAGGTGGGCAAGGACAAGAGCTCACCGCGGCACCTCACGCGCGGAGTCCCGCAGGGCAGCGTGATCAGCCCACTCCTCTTCTCGGCCGGGATGTCATCTGTCCCGGCGGCAGCCCGTACGGGGGGCACGGCGCGATACCCCGTCAACGTCGCTGTCTACGCGGACGACGTCGCGTTGTGGGTGACCGGACAGGGCGGCCGAGAAAGATGGAGGGCTGTGGCCGAGCTTCAAAGGGCGCTGGACAACGTCATCTATCATCTCAGGCAGCTCGGACTCACTGTGTCGGGCGGAAAAACTCGGGCGCTCATCTACGCCCCGCGTCCGGCCTCATTCCGACCGACACTGCTCATCGAGGGGCAACCGATCATCCACGAGCAGACGGTCACATACCTGGGCCTTGTCCTGGACAGGAGGCTGACGTGGGGGGCGGCGGTGGCGAGCGTAGTCCAAAGAATGCGGCGCCGCATGAACACCCTGCGGTCGCTCGCCGGCAGCACTTGGGGGGCATCCCAGAACATGATGCTCCAACTACATCAGGGACTGGTGCTGTCGGTGGCGCTCTACGCGCTGCCGCTGCTCAGCCTCAACACCTCACAGGCAGCAAACCTCGAGACAGTCCACCGGATCGCACTTAGGATCTGCCTCGGCATATCCAGGTCGGCGGCGTCCATCCCGACGTACACGGAAGCTGGAGCCAACACCGTCAGCAACCATCTCCAAAAGCGCGCACTTGGGCACCTCATCCGCATTTCCACCTGCGAGTCCGCGGCACCGCTGCTGGCACGCATCGCGGAGAGGCCCGAGTCGCGCTTGGGGCAGCTTCTGTGCGTTTTGGGGAACGTCGCAGGCCCTGCACCGGCGATCACTCCCCTCCCACCATTGCACTCCGACCCCCATCCACTGACTGTCCACCTCCGAGTCGACGGGATGGGCCCTCGACGGAGGACGGCCGACGTCGTGGCCAAACAGCTGACGGAGGACCACATCGAGCGGCACCACCCCGGCTGGGCAAGGGTGTACACCGACGGCTCCGTGCGGCCCAGCGACGGCTCGTCGACGGCGGCTGTCTTTGTGGAGAGGGCAGACCTGGGCGTGGGCGAACGGTTCGCCTTCCACGCCACCAGCACCACCACGGAGCTGGCGGCGATCCTTCTGGCGCTGCGCCTGATCCACTACAAGAGCCGACGCCCGGACAGCTGGCTGCTGCTCTCCGACTCCCAGGCGGCCCTGTCTCAGCTGTACGGGCTCGAGGGGGCATGCCCCCTCGCTCGGGAGATCGCTGGTGAGGCTCTGCTTCTCGGCGGCCTCGGCCACCGCTTGGCGTTCCAGTGGGTCCCGAGCCACTGCGGGATTCCTGGCAACGAGCGCGCGGACGCCCTGGCGGACCGGGTCCATGACGCCGCCGAGTTCCGGACGTCGGACGTGGGCCCCTTCGCCGACGCCAAGCTTCTTATCGCACGGGAGGCCGCCGCAAACCACCCGGACGAGCGGTACGCGGCCGGGGACCGACCGGCGAAGCCCCCTCGGGGCACGGGCCGTCCAGCCGCCGCAGTCGTCCACAGGATCCGGACGGGGTGCGCCCTGACGCCGGCACGGATGCATCTCCTGCGCAACGAGGCCGACCCGGAATGCCCGACCTGCGGAGAATGGTCGGATCTCGACCACCTCCTCCTGACCTGCCCGGCACACGCTGACGCCCGGGCGGCCTTGACAACATCCCTCGCCGCACTGGGGCTGCCCTGCAACACCACAGAACAAATACTGAGACCCAGGGGCGACCGGCGCGGCAAAGACCGCGCGCTCAGGGCCCTACTGACCTTTCTGGAAGAAACCGGGCTCCTGTGGTCCCTCTGAACTTCCTCCGGGCGCCCGCCGACTGCGGAGCGGGGCCCTGACGGCTGTGCTCAGTCGTGCCCTGGACGCTCGCTTTGGCGCGCACCTGCCGCGTGCTCGACGAACGCGCCCGGACTCCGGTGCGGGTGGACTAGAGTGGGACCTCCCACCACACGACGTGGTCGCCCCGGACGATTGCTTGATCGCCGGACACCGCGCCGTGCCAGCCTCCAGCGCTGGACCCCCAACTCCCCCCGCCCCCCCATCCCCGGCCACCCGGTATTCGATGCAACTAAATTAATCCCCCTCGCGCGTACTCCGACATGCCCGCCCCCCCCTCCCCTTCTACAAATCTATTTCTATCTCCCCCCTCCACCCCCAACCTTTCTCCCCACACCCCCCTCCCCCCGAGAGCCAGTGACCAAGCGCCCGGTGCGCAACCACTATTGGCCCTCTCCTCCCCCCCCCCCCACCATCTTTCACAACGCTTAGAAGAAGAAAGCGGTAAAGCTCGACTCACGCGCATCGATGCGAAGCGGTGAAGCTCGACGCAGCGCGTCGATGAAAAGCAGTGAAGCTCAATGCACTAGCACCGTCGATGCAAAGCGGTGAAGCCTGACACTTCTGCTCTGGTGCAAAACGGTGAAACTCGACGCAACCGCATCGATGCAAAGCGGTGCAGCTCGATTCAGGCGCGTCGATGGAAAGCGGTAAAGGTCAGTGCACCTGCAGCGATGCAAACTAGTGAAGCTCGACACTCCCGCTCCGATGCAAAGTGGTGAAGCTTGACGCTCCTGCTTCGATGCAAAGCGGTACAGCTCAACGCACGCGCATCGATGCAGAGTGGTAACGCTCGACTCATCTACGTCGGTGCAAAGGGGTGAAACTTTATGCACCTGCACCAATGCAAAGCGGTGAAGCTTGATGCTCCCACTCTGGTGCAAAGCAGTGAAGCTCAACGCACGCGCATCAATGCACAGCAGTAAGGCTCAACTCACGCGTGTCGATGCAAGGCGGTGAACCTCAACGCACCTGCACCGATGGAAAGCAGTGAAGCTCGACTCACGCGCATCGATGCGAAGCGGTGAAGCTCGACGCAGCGCGGCGATGCAAAGCAGTGAAGCTCAATGCACCTGCACCGTTGATGCAAAGCGGTGAAGCTAGACACTCCTGCTCTGGTGCAAAGGGGTGAAACTCGACGCAAGCGCATCGATGCAAAGCGGTGCAGCTCGATTCAGGCGCGTCGATGGAAAGCGGTAAAGGTCAGTGCACCTGCAGCGATGCAAACTGGTGAAGCTCGACACTTCCACTCCGATGGAAAGTGGTGAAACTTGACTCTCCTGCCTCGATGCAAAGCGGTACAGCTCAACGCACGCGCATCGATACAAAGCGGTAACGCTCAACTCATCTACGTCGGTGCAAAGCGGTGAAACTCTATGCACCTGCACCCATGCAAAGAGGTGAAGCTTGACGCTTCCAATCTGGTGCAAAGCAGTGAAGCTCAACGCACGCGCATCAATGCACAGCAGTACGGCTCAACTCACGCGCGCCGATGCAAGGCGGTGAAGCTCAACGCACCTGAACCAATGTAAAGCTGTGAAGCTCGAGGCTCATGTTCCGATGCAAAGCGGCGTAGCTCGACGCACGCACATCGATGCAAAGCGATAAGGCTCGAAGCACACGCGCCTATACAAATTGGAGAAGCTTAATGCACCTGCACCGATGCAAAGCAGTGAAGCTCGACGCTCCCACTCTGGTGCAAAGGGTGAAGCTCGACGCAAGTGCATCAGTGCAAAGTGGTGAAGCTCAACCCACCTGCACTGATGCAAAGCAGTGAAGCTCGACGCTCCCGCTGCGATGCAAATCGGTGAAGCTCGACGCTCCCGTTCTGGTGCAAAGCAGTGAAGGTTGATGCACGCACATCGATGCAAAGTGGTAAGGCTCGACTCACGTGCGTCGATGCAAAGTGGTGAAGCTCGGAGCACACCTGCCGATACAAAGCGGTGAAACTCAACACATCTGCACTGATGCAAACCTGTGAAGCTCGAGGCTCCTGCTCCGATGCAGAGCGGTGTAGCTCGATGCACGCACATCGATGCAAAGCGATAAGGCTCGAAGCACACGCGCCGATTCAAATCGGAGAAGCTGAACGCACCTGCACCGATGCAGAGCAGTGAAGCTCGACTCTCCCACTGTGGTGCAAAATGTGAAGCTCGACGCATGCACATCAATGCAAAGTGGTGAAGCTCAACGCACCTGCACTGATGCAAAGCAGCGAAGCTCGACGCTCCCGCTCCGATGCAAAGCGGTGAAGCTCGACGCTCCCGTTATGGTGCAAAGCGGTGAAGCTTGATGCACGCGCGTCGATGCAAAGTGGTAAGGCTCGACTCGCGCGCGTCGATGCAAAGCGGTGAAGCTTGAAGCACACATGCCGATACAAAGGGGTGAAGCTCAATTGACCTGCATCGATGCAAAGCGGTGAAGCTCGACGCTCCCGCTCTGATGCAAAGCCGTGAAGTTCGACGCACGCGTGTCAATGCAATGCGGCGAAGCTTGAAGCACACCCGCCGATACAAAGCGGTGAAGCTCAACACACCTGCACCGATACAAAGCTGTGAAGCTCGATGCTCCAGCTCCGATGCAAAGCGGTGAAGCTCGAGGCACGTGCATCGATGCAAAGCGGTAAGACTCGAAGCACATGCACCAATACGAATCGAAGCTCAACGCACCTGCACCGATGCAGAGCAGTGAAGCTCGACACTCCCACTCTGGTGCAGAGGGTGAAGCTCGACGAATGCACACCAGTGCAAAGTGGTGAAGCTCAACGCACCTGCACCGATGCAAAGCAGTGAAGCTCGACGCTCCCGCTCCGATGCAAAGCGGTGAAGCTCGACGCTCCCGTTCTGGTGCAAAGCGGTGAAGCTTAATGCACGCGCATCGATGCAAAGTGGTAAGGCTCGACTCGCGCGCGTCGATGCAAAGCGGTGAAGCTTGAAGCACACATGCCGATACAAAGCGGTGAAGCTCAATTGACCTGCATCGATGCAAAGCGGTGAAGCTCGAAGCCCCCGCTCTGATGCAAAGCCGTGAAGCTTGACGCACGCGTGTCAATGCAATGCGGCGAAGCTCGAAGCACACCTGCCGATACAAAGCGGTGAAGCTCAACACAACTGCACCGATACAAAGCTGTGAAGCTCGACATTCCCGCTCCGATGCAAAGCGGTGAAGCTCGAGGCACGCGCATCGATGCAAAGCGGTAAGGCTCGAAGCACATGCACCGATACAAATCATAGAAGCTCAACGCACCTGCACCGATACAAATCGTAGAAGCTCAACGCACCTGCACCGATACAAAGTGGTGAAGCTCGACGCTTCCGCTCTTGTGCAGAGCGGTGAAGCTCGACGCACGCGCATCGATGCAAAGCGGTAAGGGCCCGCACACCCTTGCAACCGAGTAAGACCGAGGTTGACCAGACCGGTTTTTAAGCCTCTTGCGATGTCTTAGGACCAGCCCCGCTGCAGCGCATCCGGTCCTAAGACGTCGCAAGATGCTTCAAACCAGTCTGGTCTCTCTCGGTCGAACTCGGTCGCATATATGTGAACGGCACTTTAGGCTCGGCTCACGCTCGTCCATGCAAACGGTGAAGTTCAACGCACCTGCACAGATGCAAAGCGGTGAAGCTCGACGCTCCCGCTCTGGTGCAAAGCGGCGAAGCTCGACACACGCGCATCGATGCAAAGCGGTAAGGCTTGGCTCACGCGCATCCATGCAAAGTAGTAAAGCTGGACGCTCCCGCTCCGTTGCAAAGCGGCGAAGCTCGACGCTTCCGCTCTATTGCAAAGTGGTGAAGCTTAACGCACGCGCATCGATGCAAAGTGGTAAGGCTGGACTCCCGCACGTCGATGCAAAGCGGTGAAGCTCGAAGCACACCCGACGATACAAAGCGGCTAAGCTAGGCGCACGCGCGGGCGTCAATGTAAAGTGGTAAGTGTGTCGATGCAAAGCAGTGGCGCTCGATTCATCCGCGCCTATACACGTTTGCAAGTCCGGTCTCAGGGCGCCGCCATCTTCCTCGGTGGGGTGCGCTCTCGGGAGCGGCCATAATCCGATTACGACGCCTTAGCAAGGCTTCGTAATCGGATTATGACTGGTCCAAGCGCACCCCAGACAGGCAAGATGGCAGCGCCCTGAAGCCGGACTTGCAAACGTGTATACACGTTTGCAAGTCCGATTTCACGACACCGCCATCTTGCTCAGTTGGGGTGTGCTTGGGTGCGGCCACAATCCGATTACGACGCCTTAACAAGGCTTCGTAATCAGATTATGACGCGTTCAGGCGCACCCCAACCGAGCAAAATAGAGCGCCCTGAAACCGGACTTGCGAACGTGTATACCTTTCCAAAAAACGCTCCTAAGTCACTGCCAGGTTGCCTTTGCGGATGCGGCTGGTGCAACCCTCGCGGGGAAACGGAACGAATGGTTCCGGAATAAATTTTCCCGGAACAAATGGTCTCGGAACTAATGGTCCCGTGTACAAACTAGAAAAAAAATGGTCCAGATAATATCGACAATGTGGCTTCTGCATTTTCGGAGAAACCCGATGAAATCCAATAACACTCTGAATTTCGAGGCTGCCGGTTGCACAAACTCAACCGCTTTTTTATTTTTCTGGAAAGCACAGAAATGTTTTGCGCTATGGAAACCTAATGTACCTATAAAAACATCGAGCTCTGCTCGTTATGTGTGCTACCACCACGCGTCATTACAAGATGGAAGTAATTCGTTTTATGGCTTCAACACTATACCCAGGGGGGGAGGCACTCACTTCATCGAATGACGTTTAAGCGGACGGCCGGGTTTCACCGAATGTCTTTAGCGAATAGTCGGCCGCCACGTGTACGGGTGGGCGTCGACTGTGACTGTCATTTGAGATCTCCCTCAAATAAATTATTTTCAGGTAATGCTGTTTCGTGTGGTACATACAATATATTCAAATGTTAACACTTGTTAAATTGTATGTCTGTGTCCTGTCCATCAGTGAACACATTATTCGTGAGGGTGAAAAATGCATGCTTTTCGGCTGTCTTCTTGTAAATTATTTTCGACAGCTAAGCGCTGTCGTTTCAAACAGCCAATCGGGCAACGCCATCCGTACTTATCGTAAAAGAAAAACTAACATTCCAGTCGCACTCTATCTCGCGCACGTACCCAACAAAATTAGTTTCTTGCTTTCTTGTTTTTTTTTCAATTGTGGTACAATGCTTCCTCAATGTCCTCAGGAAGATACATACGCCATGAAACAGAAAATACAGTGGGAAAAGACGAGAATTTAGCCGCCAGCAGTGTTTGAAATTGCGCCTATCGAAATCACAACCCTCTCGGTTAGGGTTAGCAGGGACGCCGGTGAGTCTAGCCTCAAACCCAGTGGCTGGGCTCAAAAATGGTTTGTTGCCCCTGGGGTAGTGTTTCTTAGAAAGGTGTATACGAAGCGGTGCAACTCAATGCACGCGGACCAGTCAGATGCGCTTTTGTTTTCACTCTTACGTGTATCAGCACTGCTTGTGGTGACAATTTACAAGGGCAGGCAGCTTCAAAGTTTTCAAGCCAGTATGTACTCAAAGGACCGTGGAACCATTGGGATTTATTTTATAAATTAGAATGACATTTTGGCACGTGTGGCAGACCATGTTTATGATGCAATCTGGAGCAAACAGCGCAGCACCTTTATCGCAATCATTCTATCCACCGAGACCTTCCAGAGGAATAAAATTTTGCAGTTAAGGTACCACTGGCGCTTCTTATGTGCGGTTCGGTACCTTCCCTTAGTATTATCTTTGGTAGATTATATTTGCCTCAAAATCAGGTGCCGTAACTCCACAGGCACTGTCCATTTTGCTGTTTCCTAGCATTTGACAACTTTCGGTTCAACATAACATTTTGCTGCACACCAGCGCCGTAGTCTTGCAAACAGGATGGCATGGTATGCATATTACATTGTTTACAGTAGAGTAAGTTGGAACAGTAATAGCCAATAATTTATAATACACTGAATAAGCAAACAAGTTTTCTAAATCCCTGAAACTCCAATAGAAAGGCTAGATCTAAGGGGCAGAAAAAGAGGGAAATGACCTCAATGAAAAGCAAAAGCTCCAGGCACCAACAGACTTCTTTAAGATTAGCCTCTGCGCATACGTACACCATTTCCCCTGCCATTGCTTCAGTCTGTCACCATTTTCGGAAGGCATGACCAACACACTACCTATCTCTGCATGTATCGAGTCAATTTTTATAATCCTTCTTTGAACATCGGCGGTATGGGGCACAAAAACTGATAAAAACCAATACAATGGAACGATAGTTTTTTTGAGGGGTGGAGACATATTTTGCTGCCCTTCATTTATAGTTCGAGAGATAATCCACCAGACAACGCTCATTACTCGAAAAAGGTTTATTGGCAACCCCACAACACTAATTTATGTTTGTGTGCTGGCAGTCAAGTAGCACTTGTATGAAAATAAATGAACCAAAGTATGAGGGATAATAAATGAGAGGAATAGAAGAGTGATGTGGGGAAAGAATGATCAGAAATTATCCAAAGTTTTATGAGGTGGGGGTACTTCTTCCATCACTTTTTTATTGCATGATGGCAGCTCAGCTCTGCTTTAGGCTTCCATGACAGATGGTTTGGGTACATTCTTTAACCTTGCAGATTTTCTTCACTCCATGCATGCTGCACAGTGCATGGAGCATGCCAGTAAACTTGCGTCACTCCAAAATGACAAACAAGAAAATGCAGACGAAAAAGGGGCAAGAAAAACTATATTTTCATATACACTCTGGGTACAAAAGGAACACAAAAGGCACAATGTGATCAATTATGAAAATATACAACTTTACACAAGTCAAGTCTGAGACATTGTGAAGTGTTACACACGCACATGTTTGACAGGGACTAGATTTTGAGACTCCTATGTTGCTTTTCTGTGATGCCTTGGTTGCTTCTTGCATTTAGGTCATGCTATCCAGGTTACAGCAGGACTTGGAAACTTGACCACTGCAACAAAACACAAAAAAGGAATTCACTTAAAATTCCTGTCAAGAGTTCGCACATGATGGTAAGAACCCCTGTTACAAAACAGAAAAAAATTAAACTTGTTGCGCACAGGTAAGTGCCATTCATAGATGGTGTCAAATCAAAGAAAATCGGGGAATTCTCAGTCAAGTGAGCATCTTATCTGAAGACCCACTGCACGACACCTGGATGACGGAATGTGAACAACATCACTTGACCAATTTGTTGCACCACTGCCACCAGGCTCGCGCCCAGGAAAACAAAATGTGGTCATGCGCTGCAGTTAAGACTGCAATCGTGCACATAAGTGCCTTCATTGGAAGATTCATCTGTGTTTTTACGCAAACTTCTGTAACTGGCCACCTCCTTAAAAGGATAGTGCAACAATTTTAATGTTAAAAGAAATGGCAGTCATATTTTTTATATCCAAGCACAAGTGACCAAAAATGCGTCACCTTGCCCCGATAAACTGCTATTTCACTGCATAATAGCAAACAAAAAAATTAATTATTTGCCGATCTGTAGCAGTTACAAGAACTATGGTGACAGCGTCTCTGGAGGATATGCCTAAGTCAACAAACAAAACCCTGTCCCCTTCCGCTACTACACTCGCTGTCAGCCTCACGGCAAACCGTCCTTTGTGCCGATCGCTCGCCACGACCTTTCACAATGCTAATCATTTAGAAATCGACAATCACCAAGGAAGCGGCTGGGGTCTTTGAAGGGGCCTCAGCCACTTCAGTAACTACATGATCCCCCCGAGTATATCACTCGAAAGGCGACCTGAAGAGTTAAGAGGCACTTTGACCTTTGATTTCTTTCATTTTTTAAAATAAAAACCAGCGCTTGAAAAAAAAAATGGTTTTCTGTTCTTCACTCCATAGGTGACACAGATTAATTTTTGCAGTTAATTTGCCAAAGTCCAAGCATCGTTGCACTGCCCTGATAAAAACATATACAAAGGAAAAAATGTTTTTAAACAGCCTGGATGGAAAAAGGATCTCATAAAATTAATTTACTACAAAAAAAAAACATTTTTAGAGCTATACTTATGGCGTGAAAACTTAAATCGCCTTTTGCGTTGCGCTGTGGCACCATCTCACGGGTACAATGATAAACAATATGGTTAGCCTCCAAGTGCAGATGGCGCACGCGCAGTCGGATCTTGCAAAAGCTGAATAGCTGACGCCCACGAGAGCCCACGGAAAAGTGGCTACCAGCAGTCACATGACTCACCAATATGGTCACGTTGTGCTTGCACTCTTTCGGGGCCTTCTATGGGCTATAAAAGTTACTTATTAATCTTCGTTTTTTCATTACACTTAAAACAGATTAATAATGTATTCACTTGCACTTTTTCCCCAAAAAATTTACACATATTTGGGGGGGGGGCGTTCATTACGCAGGGTAAACTTTTTGCATTTACACACTTCGTGCAATGTCCTATTAGGTGCCAATATGACACGGCAAGGTACTGTGGCACGTCTCCACTGATGGAGGAGTACCCACGCCTGATCGGGGGTGCGCCACAGTAACCATGCCTTATAAATTGCAAACCTTTTTAGGTCACTTTCAGCATGCCTTTTGCCAAAGTAAAAGCGCCCTACGAAGCTGACTCGGCACGGAGAGCAACGCGAACGTTCGTAGGCCCAATCACTCAAGATTTCACTGTCCAAAAGCAGACTATGAACGACGGCGTGTTTGTTGACAACAATACATCCAATAGGCAAAGGATGTCTAGGGCTGGGCAATTCCTTGACCCAAGCTTAGTCAAGTGTGCGCGCTGTTCAGTTTCACGGTTGATCACTTCCACAATTACGCCACTATGCACTTGCAGCCATTACGAGAGCGGCTTGGCTTAGCTTGACTTGGCCAGACCGCTTGGCAGCAAAACAAAATTGGCTTGGTGGCTAGCCAAAATGGTACAAAATGCAAGACTTGCAGAGCCGAAAATTGGAGGAGCGTTCATTACGCGAGGAAAAAAGAAAGTCCAAATATTGGTCCCTGTTGTGCGGGATGCGTTCATTATGCGAGTAAATATGGCAAGTAACTTTTAGAGCCCTATGAGGCTCTCTAAAGAGTGCAAGCACCACCCGAGACAATAGTGGTCAGTCACGTGACTGCTAATAGCTACTTTTCCTGGGCTCCCACAGGCATCAACTACAAATTCGTTCCGCGCCATAAATATAGCTCCAAAAAAATTTTGCGTCATACATTTATCTCTTCACATCCTTTTTCCATCCTGACTGTTAAAAAAAAACATTTTCCTTTGCATAAGTCTTACAAGAGAGTCTTCCTTACAAGCAAACTGCTATATTTATACTCTCATTCCACCATCACTTGCTCCATTTCTATTAGCTGAGTGAGCTTTATCTCGTTTTACATAAAACTAGCACGAAGTTTCTCCTTTCATGCAGCATTCTCAAATTCAGCCCCACAAAATCTTGAGCTTGGCCTTATCTAAGTTTCACATAAATTAGTAACTATTGGACCCTCACGGCAATATCTTCACATTTTAAACCGGAATTTTTCTCAATTTGCATGTGCTGGAATTAAAATTGCATGTCAAACATTTTGTTCGTCCATATGACAAGCAGCTAGATATCTGTAACAGCAGGGTGAAGCTCGTTTCCTATATTTTGAAATTAGTTGACTGCATCAGACCAACTCTCCCTCATGGAACACTAATCTAGGGATAACACTCCCCGAGAAATCACTTGATTGCAGCAGACTAATACTGCCTCACGATATAACAACCTAGGGACAGCACTTGCTATATGATGTAACAGCAGGGACGTTTCCTCAAAGAAAGGCACTCTCTGCTGGGACACCCAAGCACACGAAATATAAGAAATATCATATGCAAAGGCCAATCACAGGTTCTTGTTGTGCTGGGCTCCCCGTAAATCTGTGATTTGCTCTCTGTTTGCGTGACTGTGCTCTGAAGTATAGATGCACTTATATTTTGAAATACAGCCTCATGGGAAATATACTGGACTTGTGCGTCAGAACGAGAGAGAGAGAAAGAGAGAGCAGAGGCAACTCACATCTTCTGTGTGCCATTGTTCCTCCTCGCCACACGCAGCACCACCTCTCCCTGCTTGACCTTCTTGAAGGCCGCAATGGCCTCTGCGTGCGACAGCCCCTCGAAGGGCTCCCCGTTGAGCATGATAAGCTCGTCCCCCTCACGCAGATGCCCAGACTCGGCGGCCTGTCCCCCCGGGAAGATGCTCTTGACGTAGATGCCCAGGGCGCCTTTGGGGGAGTCCCTGCCGCCAACCACGCTGAAGCCCAGCGCCTTGCGGCCGGGGCCCTTCACAAACGTCACCACCTCAAAGTCCGTCTGGGCCGAACTGCGGTGCGGGCGCCGCGGCAGCGTGCACAGCACCCCGCTACTGTACTGCTGGTGGTGTGACTGCTGCAAGGAGAAGTTGACGGAGGTGAGCGACGAAAGAATAAAAAAAACGTCCAGCTGGTACACACAGAAATGAACACTTCACTCTCGGAATTCTTTTTAAACAGAATGTGTTTGGAACAAGGGTTGCGTTTAAAAAAAAATGTCACAAAAAACTGAAAAGCAAGAAAAGGCTGGTTCAGACGCCTGCGCTTCGAGTATGACCGGCTGAGTTATGACTGCTTAAGACAAGGTGCTACAATCCGTTACCATGGCAACGCTCGCTGTAAGCAGTCGTACTCAAAGTGCAAATGTGTGAGCCAGCCTTTACATGCAATTCCCTGCTAGCATAACGTAGCACAAATCCCGAGCTCAAAAAGGCTCGTAAATAGGGTTCCGTGTAAGGTTCATTTAAGACAACAGGTCATTGTACTTCTGGGTCACAACAAAAGCCACTCTCTTGGTTTCCACTTGGGGTCATACTTCTTGTGTTTTAGAGGAAAGAGGTTGTGTTTTTGTATCAGTGCAAGCTATGAAACAGAGATTGCATAAAATTGGAAAGAGGGGCAGTTGAAACTTCTCCATTACCGTATTTTCCAATGAATAAGTCGTTTTTTTTTTTTTTTAACAGTTTTCTTGGAGTGTTTTATACAACAATGTGACTTGTATGCTTTCTTTTTTTTAATTGAAGATGGGACGCCTTTTTTTTTTATGTGCTGCACGCCATCTTTTGTAGAACACCGTAACTATATAGCCATAGGTGGTGTTGCCCCCTCCAAGAGGCACTGCTCTCACCGCCCTTTTCTACACTTTTCGTAACTGACTCGAGAAGCGAGAAATTTAATGGTTTCCCAGAAGCGGCTCAATGTGGATAGGCAAGACCGTGAGGGTAAAGTTTTTACAGCATGTGATCGACGTTGCCTAATTCAGCTATGGTTTTGTATCGTTTTGCTTCAGTCCAGTAACACTGAAAGTTAAGCGGGCTAGAATACACGCATTGCAGAATATTTTCTCGCGTCTTTCTTAGTTTCCGTTTGATGAGCAGTTTTCTTTTTCTGCCATGACCCAGGAGTGTTGCTACGTGTAAAAGGAAGGATTGTGCCTAGCCGATCTTATAGAGGTACCGAAACAAGTATGTCAAGATTTATCTATCTGCCTGCACATCGATCCTCGCGTCGTCTCCGGGACTTAGGCTAGGCCTAGTGGTTCAAAGCTTGGTTCACGAGTGTCTGGCTCACTAAACTTTCATTCGCTCAGCGTGTGTTCACTTAAATAAAGCCAACTCGTCTGTTCACTCAAATAAAGCCAACTAACTTCTTATTCTGTGCTTTTTACGTCCTTTTGCTGCAAAACATGCAATTGTCCCTGCCAAACAGCGCCATGCTATGTGCATTTCTCGCGAGTCAAAACGTGAAGTTGTGCGTCAAACGGTACTTGCGATCTAGCCGATTGCTTGAAACTCCGATTTCACGATACCAATGCAAGTAAACAAAAATCTCATTGCATGAACCGTGCAAAGAGCTCCGACCTATACAAAGGTGCGACTTATCCCAACTTCTCCACGAAAACTGCTCAATATACGAATGTGCGACTTATACAAGGCTACGACTTATAGTCCGGAAAATAAGGCACACCCTTTACGACTCCAGGTTGATGGAATAGGATGAGATGAATACGAGTTTCCCAGCGACTAACTCCAGGGCTTTACTGATTCTAAGGTATTGACGTTTCTCGAAGCAACACCTGTGTGCAATTTTTGTCGTGCAACTAATTAGTACTGCCAATAACAATGGCACCAATGCCAATCCTAGCTGAATAAATATTAATTGATACAAGCGCAGTGATGTGATTGCTGCACATCTGTGCCAAACTGAACCAAAGTGCCTGCCCTGCTACATCCATTATACCAAAATGTGAGGAATTTGTGCCAACACTCAAATAGTACAAGTATAATAGCTCAGGCCTCACGGCCCGGCTGGACCGTTAAAACATGCTTATGACAGTTTTAAAAACTTTTGAATGTTGTCTCAAGTAACATACTATTCGATCGCATTTTGTATAAAAGACTAACAGTACTCGGAAGTTTGGCAATAGTTTTCTTTTTCTTCGTCTTTTCTGCTGGAGGGTAAGTTAGTCTCGTCGAGTGTGCTTCTCACCATGCACTGGTGTACTGCAGAGAAGCAGAAACCGTAGAGTAGGCGTCGCAATTTTGTGTGTCTTGCTTCGCCGCAGTGCACTAGCATGCTAAGAGGAAAGGGCTCCTCCAGAGCGAGACGCTACACAATTCCGGAATACAATTTTGGCTTGTATATATGATAGCCTATGACATCCTTGCGGTACATTTTTTCAGTGTGCAATTTAGCAAGGATACTTCGGTATTGCAGGAACATTTATATGAACTCTTTTGTATGTTTGTTTATTTATGCCAACTCATTTTCTTAGCTATCACTTTTATACAGATGACGGTAAATTAGAACTAAATTGACACGAGCAGTCGACGGAAGCTTGGGAAGAAACTTATTGAGTGCGGCGGGATTGTTCTGAAGTTTCGTTCATTTGACGTTTCTGTCATGAAGTTCTAAAAATAAAATGTAATTGATGTTTGTAATCAAATAACAAGTGCATTGTTTTTTATCTGAATTATAAATTATACCACGGTGTACAAATACACTGAGAATTGCACCCTCGTTATGAGTAACTGGTTTTGGTCTCTTTGATGGTATTCAGTAAGTCAATTGATATGTGCATCCTGCTTTCATGCTCTTTCTTTTATATCCTCCTTCCTTTTCTCAGTGTCTTAGTGATGCAAGCTCGTGTGTGGCTAACAATATATCCAACTCGCTAGCGTGCAAACAAGGAAGCCTGTAGCTCTGCTAATCACTGTAGAAAACATGTTCCATGTTCGTTCAGATTTTTTTTTGTTGTTAAGCTTACAAGCAATAGTAGATCTCAAAGTATGCATGCACTGCTTTGATACTGCTTTCCAAAATGCTATAAATTTAAATAACAGAGTTTGCAATAAGTACACTTGCGATCAATGCGACAGAGCCTCGAAGACAAGATGCATCGGAGGTCATACCTGGCCATCTCTATCGGCATCTTCAGGGACCTCAGGGATACAGTTGTAATTTGCGGCAGCTCCAGGGTGCGAGATGCTGGCTCTCCGCTCGGCAGGAACCCTGTGCACCTCTGGCTTGCGGGCGATGGGAGTCTGCTCCTCCGTAGGTGGCAGGAACACTTCCTCACTGCCCTGCTGCTCCTACAAGTGATACACAGCACATGTATAAGCCACCGCTCAGTCTCTTTGCGCAAAGTAAACTTGGCACATCCAGAAAAATCAAATAGACCAATTATCCCAATTCATTGTTTGCACACTGTTTACAGCAAAACCGGGAAGAGCAGAGGTGCAAGGTGAAGCGACCAATTGCTCAATTATGCATCAAACCTGTTATAAATCTGATCTACCTTTGTCCATCGTCCACGCCTATATCAGGATTACAATGAAAGACCTCCGCCAGAAAGCCTGTATACTAAACATCACCTAGCATGACAGTGTTGCAAAGCCTCACAAGGCAACGCTGCCAAACCAACACAGGGCATCTGGACAATCCCTGCTAAGTACTGGAAGCTTATTGGGACCATCTACAGACCTCTTTATGTGCTAGTAAGATCTCAGAAGCACTGTCTTTTTTATACTAAGCCACCGTCAAACTGCAGGCAGTTTGGCCCCAATTTGTACCTGCCAAATAAGAATGGATATACTAGCATTTTGTTTCGGGGAGTCGAGGCAGCCGTCTCACAAACCATGAGCATGCCTTGAGAAATGGATGCCAAATGTATAACCACCCAGGGTTTTTTAAACCGATTGGGGATGCTGAAACTTACCAATCTGGCCACTAAGAGGTAGACGATTTGGTCAGGTGTGCGAAGGAGACGGCGAGCTTCCTCAATCTCCACTCCTTGCACCTGGTGACCGTTAATGACGAGCAGTTCATCACCTCTCCGCAACTGGCCACTCCTGGGTGAACAAGGGGAAGCCAAGAGGTCAAGAAACGACTTACTACCACTACAATTGGTTTTGTTTCAAATAATTTTGTTGCAAAATCATGCGCATGAACACCAGTGTAGGGAAGCACTATAAGTAGGTTCGGTAAACTTTTACTTTACTTGAAGTACATTCTACGAGTAGTCTCTTTTTCTGGTACTTTCCGAAGAAAGTACAACTCCAGTCTTTAAAGTCCATTCTCTAAATTTGGTAGATTGCATTTACATTAAAAAAAATTATGCTTTGTCAACTCTGAAGAAATGCTGGGAGGGATATTCTACTCTCATTAGAAACGCAAGCAGAAAACGCATCGTTCCATTTGTACTGAGGGCGGCCTTCCCGCAGCCATCTCAAACTCTCGCTACTTTTAGCTCGGTCAGCAGAGCAAAAAGGATAAAAGTATTTTGTAGAGTCACGCGCTCGCATCCTTGGCTTTCCCACGCTTACCATGTGCTCGAGTCCTTAGCTTTCTCCATACCATACACAACTTCTGAGGTTGCATACAAAAAATAACCAACTTCTAACAAAAAATACCGTATCGCCATGTGAAAACACTCCATCGTCTTTCGAGACGTCATCTGGTCATTTCTCCGACTGGTACGCCTGGGGCATGCATACCAGTTTAAAAAGAAAAACACTGTATACAGGAATGAAAGCACATCATAATGGGATTAAATTCAAAAGTATTTGCACTTTACTTTGAAAGTAGTGTATTTATAGTACTTTAATCAAGAACATTGCACCCGGTGTACTTATCTTCAAGTGCATATCCTCTCATTTACTTCCAACTTTTCCTTTTTCAGTACTTGTTAAATGTGCTTCACTACCCAACACTGATAAGCATAGCATACAAAGAATGTAGTTGATTAATGTTAGAAAGGGCTTTTCGGCAGCTCTAGACTATCCAGTGGCTAAATCATTGGTCACGTCTACAGCAATGATAGGCCTCTTATACCATATTCTATTACTTCTCCTTCTATTTGCCATTGTCGATCTTGTTTTATACCTGTACCAGACTAAAAAGATATGCAAAGAATTCACGGAACTTATTTGTCAGCGCTTGTGAATAGCAAAATACTAAATATATTGACATTATAGATACTCAGCGATTCTGAGATGTTTTTGTTGCTAGTCACCTCTGTTGCAGAGCTTAAAGGGACACTGACAGGGTATTTATGTTCGTCGAGGTTTTTGGTTGTCATGACATATGAGAGCCCAACTACCCAAAATAGAATTTGCAGCTCGAAATTCGGTTTCTTTCCACCCGAAAACCGCCGATCGAGAACTCGCCAGTTTGAGTCATGCTCACTCTCTTTTCCGTGGTCACAGGCCGTTTTCTAAGGTTTAGACACAACCACCAAATTTAATCTAAGTCGTGGGTCATTGAAGGCACACAGTCAATATTAAAAATATAAAAAAATATGAAACCCATTTTTTGTAGCTTCCAAAAAGCTGCAAATACGTTGACTGAATAAAAAAAGGCTGCATAGACAACCGGAAGCATTCTGTGCGTTCACTGCATAATTCTCAAAATGGTGTCGTTTCGCGTATCGTGGGACTAGCGGATGGCAGCGAACAACGGGTGTGGGACCTCTACTTCAGAACTGTCGTTCACGGTACCGGCGATTTTGGACCGATCAAAAGAATTGATATTCATCCCGTACGACACGCCCGACCAACAAGCCGACTGCACGAAGACGTCGCCGAGCCGTCGTCCCTTCTCGTGGCTGAAGACATCGCTCGCTCAAACATCAAACACGAAGTGCGGTGCATACTTCGAGTTGAATACGCACGCGTAGTTTCTTTACTAGGTGCAAATGTGGCCAATGCGTGGTGCTGCCCGACTTCAAGCCGGGAGTGCATGTAGTGGAGGGAAATCGGCAGCAAACGCTCCGAGATACAGTTGACCAGCTAAATTACTACGAACAAAAGAGTTGTTCAGTAACTCGGTGGAAAGATGTCCGCTTCACACGCAGCGGGCACAGGTTCAATCCCTAATGTGGGCGTACCATTTTTTCTTTTTCTATTTTTGTTTTTTGTTAAGCATTTTGCAATGTTTACATTTCTTTTTTTACAGTTACCACTGAAAAAAATTGTTCTGGACGATACGCTGCTGAACTAAATGGTACGGGATTCGATTTTTGACACCTGCGAACTCAATGTAGTCAATTTAAACAAAATACTAGGAGCATATGAATCGGGTAGCGTCCGCTTTCCGAGGTTCCCGCAATTGTTCTACAGGAATTGCAGCCAGCCATTGATCCCGACCCGTTGATCTTTCGGAAACTTGTGCACTCTGCCGGACAATGCCACTTTCAGATGCAGAACATGTGAGGCAGCTCTTCACGCAACTTCTTGGGAGTATTCCTTTCGCAGCCGATCAGGGGAATTCACCATGGGCACTCACTACTAATCACCAACACTTAAATGTACAAAACAACTCATCTTGAAGTACAGAACAGCGAGCGGAACAAACATAACTGCAAAGGAATCGCACCACAAACAGGTCCCGCAACATATTTCTACTGCTGCGTGCGAAATTGCTGGTGGAGTGTAGCCACGTGACTTTTGCCACTCGCTCTCCCCTCTCCGCTTTGTGCGGTGAGGGTGTTTCGGCTTCGGTTTTGAGCAGTTGCATTTTTTGGCTTTATTAAAAAAATATGTGACTCTGTAGCAAAATATTAATTTAGTAGTATTTCAACACCATAATAAATTGCCTGGCAAAAAACGGAAAAACAATTTTGGGGGGTGTCAGTGTCCCTTTAAAGGTTAAAGTTATGATGATGTACCTTTCATATTTGCCTCTCACTGCTGAAAAAAGTTTCACCGCATAGAGATTACCTTTGTTTTATACAAGAACCTGCACAAACAAAAACCAAAAAAACATGTGGCAGAAAAAATTTTACAAAACTTTCGGAGCTAATATTGCGCAATTATCATCCTCTTCCCTAAGTACAATAACTGAGCAACAAAGGTCTATGTAAATCATTGCAACTTAAATCCACATCTTGTCCTCGAATTGAGATTACTTAGATTTTATATCGGAGTCCAAGTCAAAATGTTAAATCATTGCCAACATGTAACTGAAACATCTCAACTGAAACCCCACATATCCAAACCTGAACACAATATGCTGAACACAGAAACCATAGCACACAACATCCCACATGCTCCATTTCACCTTGCAGTGCACTGCAACAAACCCTGTGAGACGTCCAAGCCAACGCAGCGCTCTAAGCATGCCACGCAACTTCACACTCTGCGTGTCGCTCCAACCAACCGTAAATTCAAGCTAGGAATTTTTTCCAGTGGCTCCCAGTGTCTGCCGCAATACATCAGAAGGTGAAACAAAGTATAATACTTTTCCCTTTACCCGTGTTCCGAAACAAGGGATAAACAAAAAGAGGAAGGCATCACAAGAGAGGCCAAACAGGAAGAAGCGGCAGTTGTGATTAGAATGAAAACACCTCCCAGTAGCATGGGAGAAACAAAACAATATTTTCCCCCGTACCGGAAGTTCCACGACTCAAGACAGCAATGCACATGCTGAAAAAGTCTATAGATCAATGCTGCCACCAGCCTCACCTCGCGGCTGGACCATCTTCCTCCAGATCTGCCACGACGTACCCGAGCACGCCTCGATCGGGGCTGTACTTCCCCTTGATGTAGACTCCCAGCTCCCCTCTGGCATCTTTGGCCAACTGCACGCTGAGCACCCGAGACCCCACGGGGGCCCTCTGCTCCGCAGCCACCCGCTGTCCCTCCAGCTGCGCCTCAAGCCACACACGACGACGCACATCAATGGCACTCGCGGCCCTCGCGCCCATCTCCATTTCGTCTCCCGAGAGTATGTCGAGGCACTGGACGCTCGACCACGAGGACGCGCTCTTGAGCCGGGGCTCGTCCCCGTCTTCGGCCGAGCGTCCGAGCAGCGGCGACTCGAAGAGGCTGCTGCGGTTGCGCGGCTCAGAGCCCTTCTTCCACCGATTCCGCAAGAGCTTGCGGTCCAGGGTCCATGCACGGAACTGTTCCAGCTTGGAGGTGGGGTTAGAGCTCCGGCGCTCCGGGCGAGGCGACGCTGACGCGGAGGACTCGGCATCCTTGGCAGAGGAGGAACTGCTCGTGCTGTCACGGCGGAGCACCGAGAAGAGGGACTGCGTCTTGCAGCGCAGGCTCTTGGAGTCGTAGGATGGCGTGGAAGAGTGGCTCTTGTTGGACTCGGACCTGGGATTGTTGAAGAAAGTGAGCTTGTGGCGAGGACAAATAAAACTGGTTGACTTTTTTCCGGCCACCTTTACTTTCTTTGGAATGCGTGACGCGAACACTTCTTGGCCTATGGCACATTCTTGCGATTGCCCCCGTCTGTGTGCTCATATGCAAGCAAAGGGCACAGGAACACACGGTATCTATTATAGCCCCTCATCATAGGCTTCTCTTTTTTATATAAAAAGTAATTATACATTGGTAATGGACTCAAAATCTCTCCAATATTGTTACATATGAAAATTGCAGAAAAAAGTGGGAGTACCGAAGTACCTTACCACCCATTTCATGTAATTATTGTTTCAAAGCTATATGTGGCAAAAGGTATATGTCAAAGTCATTGCATTGCCAATATTAACTGAACGACAGCAGAAAATATTAAAGAGAAATGTGCATAGTGCCCCCCTCCCAAATTACTTCCTTCTATCAGGAGCTCCTCATATCGTAACCCTATTAAAGGCCTCATAAAAAGGGGTGAATTTGTTTCTGCCCATATGCAGGAGTTCCTAAAGTTATCCTTAAAGAGCTTTTACTCTAGTCTGGTCAGACTATTCAATTCACCAAAAACTTGCCTCATTGAAAAGTCGAACGAGTGAAACACAACTGCTGTCCTTAGCCTACAACGCAATAATGAAATTGACGTAGGCCGCCCGTCACGCAGACAGGTCGAAACGTCCCGACTCCCCATCTATAAATACAATCACGATCACGAGAGCGGATCCACCCCGACCCTCACCTGACGTGGCTGTTGTCGGACCTGCCACCTTCTGAGCTCCTGGACAAATGTGGCGTTGCCGTCGCCGCCTGGAGCGAGATGCGCTGGAGAATCGCGGCCGCCAGACGCTGCACGTTGGAGCCCTCGGGGGCCGAGCTGCGCAGCGGCCGGGGTGGTACGGCGGGGGCCGGCGGGGGACACGGGGGTGGCGGCAGCGCCCCTACGATCTCCTCGGCGGGGCTGTCGTCGCCCCCGTTCTTGGTGCCGTCGCTCTCGTAGCCGGACTCATCCGAGCGGTGCTGCGTCGAGCTGGCCAGGCTGGCCGTGTCGGCACCGGCCTGCCGCGCCAGCTCGGCCTCCAGCACGGAGCCCAGTCCCGCCGAAGAACCGGGGGGCTTGGGCACCTCTGCCTCCAGGCGCTCCAGGTCCTCGGAACTGGAGGAAGAAGGACGCCGCCGTTGGAGAGCCAAGAAAAACCGACTGTTCATAAAACTCGCGGGAGGACTCCTCACACTACGTCATACCTTACGGTGGACTGGGGGGTGCTACGATCCGTCCTGGGCAATCGAGCGTCGTGAATGTATCGATTGACTATACGCACCATGCGTCGCTGCACCTCTCCCAAATGTCATGTGACCCTCACGCAGCACTTTGATGGCTCGTATCGGTTCGTCATTACGTGAAGCGGTGCATGGTTTCGTAGTGGATAGAAAAATATTGATGATGTGTGTCGACAGTGCCTCAATTTAATCACTCATCGAAATGTGGTAACCTCTTGCTCTGCCGTAATAAGCAGTTTGGCTCATGCCGTCGGCCTCTTTGGATCATTAATGTGCATCGCGCAGTAGTATGATGAATGCCTGCCGGCATGGTCATCTAGATTGAGACGTACAGGGGTCATACCGAGTTAAATATACCTGGTGGGCTAGTTAATGACACGCCATAAAAATCAAAAAGTGCAAAGGAAAAGACAAGGCAAGGATGAAAGCAAAAAGGACAAAGACAAGGACAAAAGCACTTTTCTGGTCTTGTTCTACCTCTTGTGCTTGGCCTTTGTGCTTTCGATTTTTACGTCATACTGAGGACCGATTCCTGGGTTCTCAAGTGTGTTGTGAACCAAATCCAAAACAACTGAACGTCCCCCTTCCTGCTAAAGAGCTTTCCTGGTTTTATCGTGCTTTGGCATATGTCAGTATGCTTTACAGAGATAAAATTTGGAAACATGTCCTGCGCATTACTTGGGGGCGTGCCAAACAAAATGACTATTTGCCATTTTCCAACAGCAAAATGGCTTTGCCAAACAAAAGTGCCATTTGTGATGCATGTAGGTCATCATTACGTCTCATCAAGTGTATGCACCAAAGAAACGTTTGCTGCTGTATGCACACCCTCTGTGCCTCGCGTATGGGCTGCAGGAAGAGTACATTGGGCAGATCTAGTATTCATTCTTCTGAATGCACAGCACATGTCATTATTCTTTTTTTTTTTCTTTTTTTTAGGTTTTGAGACATTTATTGACAGAAATTATGGCAGTAAAGTCCCAATCATGTTGCATGTAAAATATGCTATTTTAAAAGTAGCCCCGATGAAAGACTGAATTATTTTACAAGGCGATTTGTTGATGGTCATAAATAATTACACAACAAGGAAATAGAGAGGATGTTTAGTGATCTACGCTGTCCCAAGAACAAAATGACCCAACTTTTAATTTTTTTACTGTTTTTTTTAACAGTTAGATAGTTTTTATCCAACTGTTCTTCCTCTTGTCCCTGTTTTTTAGGCATTCAGTTCAGATAGAAAACCAACTAGCTTAACTGAATATTTTTTTGCTGTAGTTGTTTATTTTTCACGCCTTTTTTAAGTTTAAGAGCAAACTAATGATACTGACAGAAAACAAAACTTAGCACTTGTGACATCGATGTTTTCATTTTCAGCTCGTAAGCGTATCCTGGAGCTCTTTTTGTACATTACTTTGATGGATTTGAAAACACACACACCGAGTAATCGCCCACCCTTACAAATACCGCAACGTAGACTCCGCGAACATTCATCCTATACGAATGACGCGGCCGCAGACCTTACAGCTGGAGGACGTCCATGATAAAGGAAAACAAAGGAGGGAAAGACACTTCTCTTTGTTTACGCATTTTCTCCCCGATTTCCGCGACTTCAAAGTCGTAGTACATGCGTGCGAAAGAAAAAACGATGGAGATATCAGCATAAAACATTCTATTGCTGCCAGAAAAAGTACGTTGGGACAAAAAAAGAAGTCGGAAAGATGACACAAGCATAGGGATCGCGAGGTCAGCGAACGCCCCATATCGTGAAATTTAACTGCGGAGTGTAAGGTCAAGGTCCGTCTCCACCGAAGTAAGGTCACCGCAAACCTGCTCCTTCTCCCGGAACATCGCGACCGCGGTTGGTAGGGTTGTGAAATGTTTTAAGACAAAGCCAACGGGTAAATGAAGATTTGCTGGAACGCCGCACACAGACGTTTGTGCAGTCCACGCCACGCAGCAACGCCGCCTTAACCCGCGTTGAGAGCACGTCGCGCACGGATGCACGTGCACCAAACAAGAAAGTTACGAAAGAGCCTGCTCCTTGCGAGTGACAACGCGCCCGACTTGGCCCGACGCCCAAGCATTTTCCAACGCGATCGCCGGCTTTCCCGCACCACTCCTCGTCACTTCTTTCGTCCGCGCGCTCACTCACTCATTGCCTCGTTTGTTCTATTTTCTTATTCACTTTTTTCTTTGACGAAGAGAACACAGTGGTGTTTGAAACGGAACAAACGTTCGCGCTGTATGCTGACGGCTGTGTTCATCGCGCGTACCCAAGCGACCGACTATACGGAGTAAAACGTCCTTTCATGCTTGATACGAACAGAAAAATTCGCGTTTTTATCAGCTGTTTCTAAACTTTCTATACTTACCCACCGAAACATAGCCCACCTCACTTTGCTAGGTTCCCCAGGATCGTGTCCGGTAACAAACTCTTGTCAACACAAACTCCACAAACCTCTGGACAGTTAACGCCATTTATAAGCGACGGCGGCAAGCACACAACCAGTCTGGTTGCGGCCGTCGCTCGTAGATGGCGGCAACCTTTCCATCTATCTCTAGAGTTCCTGTATAGACCTTTTCCGCTTACTCTCGCCCCTGACCGTCAAGTAAGCATATCCGGTATGGGCGACGAAAAAATATCAGAACGTTTCAACCTGCAAATAGTAAAACAATAAAGGGGAGGCAAAACGAGAATGTGTGACGGTTACGTTTATGTCCTAAATGCCTTCTACTGGCGTGGCGACGGCAAAACAATGTTTTCGCCCCACTGGAAGTGACGACAATTCAAGATGGCGGCGCCCTTGCGAAAAAGGACTATAGACGAACACGCGACCCTGATGTCACGCAGCTGCGGTGGCGCTGTCGACGGCACTGCGCATGCGCGGACGCTTCACTTCACGCGAATTCGATTTCTGCGCACGCGCAGTGCCCACACCTGGTGTGGGCAAACGCGGGCTTGTTTGTAAACAGCGTGCCGGTCTATAGGCTCCCTACGGGAGCCAGAGTTGCGAGATTGATTCCACGTGCCGCGTGCCGCCCTCCCCGCTATTCGCCGAGATCCGATGTGAGGAGCCGTATCAAGTGTCGTGCAGTAAAGTAGACGTTGCACGCGCCCCAGCGTACGTTCCCCGGCTTTTGAGCGCGGCGCTGTTATTCGCCGAATTAAGTCACGTGAGGAGCTGTATCCACATGCCATGCATGAACGCGCAACTCTGGCTCCCGTGGGGAGCCTATAGAAGGATGTATAGTTGGGCAAGTTGGTGGGAATTCATCGTAGGAAAAGCGCGCAAAATAGACGAGGACGAAGAAGACACGCACGTGCCGAGCGCAGCGCTCGTCACGTGCGTTTCTTCGGCCTCGTCTGTTTTGCGAGCTGTTTCCTACGCTCTTATCAGTTTCAGTTTAGGCTCAGGATGGGCTGTGCGCGTGCCCTTTTGGGGAAAGAAGACTGGGTGCGGAAAGAGCGGCGACGTACGCAGCAGCGCGAATGGGTCTGCAAGTGCCAGCGACCTGAAGCCGCTGTCGCCTCGATTTCCACTACATCCATCGCTTCAGACTCCCTTGCGAAAGAAGAGCGCATCGCTTGCCTGAAAAGCCGCCGCCGAGAACAGAACCAGCGATGTAAACGGCGCCGGCGGGCTACGAGGGCCAAGCGCAAGCGCGAGGCCCGGCAACGACAGCACTCCACGCCGGCTGAACAGTTCCCGGGTGCGACGGCGAGGTTCCGGAGGGAGTTCGTGGAGAACCCGTTTGGCGTCACGTGCGCCGTGTGCGACCGACTCTGGTTCGCTGGAGACCTATCCACCATCGGCGGCGTGTCGGACGAGAAGAATCGGGAAACGGGCGCGTGCGCGTTGCGGCAGTGTATCGAGTCGGCGGACGTCTACAAAGAACCGGAGTGCAGAAGGCGCCCAGATTCCCCGCTCAAAAGGCGCGGTGCCTCGGTTCACGAACGTGAACGGCTACAAGTACCCATCCGTAGCGGAGCACCTACCAAGGTTGAACGTGGTGGAGGAACGACGAGTGGCGCCTCGACTGCCGTTCATGAGCCTTCGGCGGTTGACGTGGTATAACAAAGACAACCGGGCAGGGCCGTAACCAGGGGGGGGGGGGGGGGGGGGGGGGGGGGGGGGGGGGGGGGGGGTAGGGGGCTCTGACCCCCCCCCCCCCCCCCCCCCCCCCCCGAAATTTTTTTTCTGGGTACGGCCCTGGTCGATGCACTGGCAGCCAGCCGATTTTAATCTCCACCTCTGCGCACGCGCAGTGGCGCCGGTCTGCTACCGGGTAGAAAACCAGGAACGGTTCTCCGGTTTGCTGTAACTCTCCATTATATGCCACCGATGCACACGATTCATAGGTGAAAAAAAGACAATAGACACTTTCAAAATGGCCGCCGTTGTCCCCCGAAACCCCCCCCCCCCCCCCCCCCCCCCGAAATTTTTTTCTGGGTACGGCCCTGCAACCGGGGACAATGCAGCTTCACATAACCAATTACCAATCACACCTTAATCCTTAGATTTATAAATACTTCATTTCCACCGCAGTACCGCTTCGCTGGTTTTCCTTCTTGACGAGATTGGAAAGGCTGAAAGTTTTTAATTTCAGGCGGTAAATGCTGGGCGATGACTCGGGATATTACCTGTGTGTGTGTGTGTGTGTGTGTGTGTGTGTGTGTGTGTGTGTGTGTGTGTGTGTGTTTGTGTTTGTGTGCGTGCGTGCGCGTGTGTGTGTGCGTGCGTCTGCGTGTGTGTGCGTGCGCCTGCGTGCGTGCGTGCGTCTGCGTGCGTGCGTGTGCGTGCGTGCGTGCGTGCGTGCGTGCGTGCGTGCGTGTGTGCGTGCGTGCGTGTGTGCGTGCGTGTGTGTGTGTGTGTGTGTGCGTGTGTGTGTGCGTGCGTGCGTGCGTGCGTGCGTGCGTGCGTGCGTGCGTGCGTGCGTATTACTGTTCTTGTAAACGTTTGTAAACCCACCGCCTGCTAAAATGCCTCACGGCAATGCAGGATTCTTTGCAAAGAAATTTTTAAAAAAGCAGCCCTATAATGACCCACACTAAAACATAATGCGAATCATGTTCCCTTAGCCAAGCACTTCCAACATTCCTTGAGGTTAAAGTCTATCAGGTTTTGATGATGCTCTATTCTCCACAAACATGAATGAGTTGCTGGAAGATAACCATTGGAGCCAAATCACAGAGCGATAGGGTCGATAGAATAGTACCGGAAGCTTTATAACGACGAAGTGTTTCCCAACAGCTGCATTCTCCCAAGTTCAAGGTCAGACACTGACTCAGTTACAGCAGGAAGTTCCTTATCAAAAGCTCATTAGAGCAGAAAACAGTTTCACGGGTTCCGGCATTTTGAAATTCTCTATCTCTTTTCTATTCCCTGCGTACATTTGTAGTTCCACAGAAACATAAAGGCCCGTTCACACGCTTGCGTTTGACTACGACCCACTGAGACAAGACCGGTTTTTAAGCCTCCTGTAACAGCTACGCAGCTGGTCGTAAGCTGTCACAAGAGGCTTAAAAACCAGCCTTGCCTCAGTAGGTAGTAGCCAAACGCAAGTGTGTGAACGGGCCTTTAGAGAGAACCTTATGCAATATTTCCAAAAAGAAAAATTTTCATTCAAATTGAATGGTACAGAGGCTGCTTCCAGTATTACATCACAATTTTCAAGAATTATATTTTATCAAAAACTCGCCGGCCACTGAAGTAGGGTAAAATTATAGCAAAGTAAAATGTCAACGTCTACTAAACAAATTTTTTGTTCGTATTTAATAAGGGAAATGTTAATGAGCCCTTAAAAACAAGCAAGGCAGTTCTTGCCGAGATTTTTAATTACAACTGATCTACCAGGGCCCAACTCTGCTTAGAACAACTATTTGCAGCTTGAACTCTGGCTTATTACTGCGCGAGACCCGCCGCTCGAAATCGGGTGTCCAAACAACTGCTGTTTCCTATGGTGTCAAGATGCACGCACTAGTCCTAAAGCTTTGTTGTTTTTTCCTCAGCAAATATGTTATCCTCAGTGGAAAAAAATAACAAACAAATTGGGTATTGTATTGAGATTATAATAAATTTTTGCTCGAGCAAGGAAAAACAATTAGTTCCTTGAGGTGCCAGGGTCCTTCCCAGTCGCCTTTGGCCTGCCATTGCATAATAAACAAATATTTTCATAAAAGAAAAAGTTACTGCACTCCCATAAGGAATGGGTGAAATCTGAAACTCACAAAACAAGTTTAAAAAATAAGAAGCAGATTAAAGCTAGCAAGGGTTTTTAGTGAGCAGTGCTCTGTCAATTCCTCAGAAAAAAATAACCCCAGCACCAACGAGACTTTCACAAAAGCAGACCATCAAACCTTCCACTCCTGCAGCACCATCACCTTGGCCCCGGCACGCCCGACGAAGAATGCAGACTCACCCGTTGGCGGTAGCCCTGCAGCAGTCGGAACAGCAGTCTCCAGAAGGCGTAGACACCACGTCCTCTGTGCAAGAATCCCTTTCCAGGGCTGCATCGATGAGAAGGGCTGAGGTAGACCTACTCCTGTACATTCCTCGAAGGCGTGACACGGAGGGCGCCATTTTTCTGTCATCGTCACCGTCCTCTTCCAAGGGTGCATCCTGAAGGCACTCCACACTGCGAGAAGTTTCCCTGCACAGAGTGTCAGGCACAGATATCCTCGGCGGGACCACGGGCACTGTGAAGGCGGTAAGGCGCTGAGAGGGCCAGTCCAGGCTCGGACGACCTTCGTCAATGGAGCATGGCACTGTCACTTGGGGCAGTGAGTACTTGTGCGGTCCCACGCAAGTCTTGCGTCCCACCCGCGAGAATGGGAAACCTATAAAAAAGGCAACGTGGGATAACTTAGTTGCCGAAAGTGGAACTCACATTCAACTAGTTGACTGTAGCAATAAGAACATTTCTACTGATTCTCGACATGACCAACCAATTCGAGGAGGTGAGCCTGACTCCTCTACTGGATGCCAATGATGTTTCCCATCAATCGGCTTTCATAAAGTACTCATTTTAGCTGATATTAAGTTAGGCTGCTTAAAGGGACCCTGCAAGGTCTTTTTTTGTGGTTTTTAATTTGCACCGAACCTGAGCGCACTGAACGTAGTAACTTAATTTAACTTTCCTTTCTCAAATTTCGCTTTATTTTAAAATTTATAGGCAAATTAAAATTACAAGAACAAGCAAAAATAACATGCTTCATGACGTCCTTGGTTGCTTGAGTGGCCGTGAACTAGAGGAGGGGTGGTGAGCTCAGCGAGCGGCCACGGCTGTCGCAGTCCGTGTCGATAGCTCGAGAGGGCGCCACTAAAGCATGTTCTGGCTAGGCTGTATGAAGCGTTAACACAGAGGTTCGGGCGAGTTGGTTGCTCATGAAGCGGGCAGCCAGGGCGGCCCGCATTGCATTTACTGCGCGAGTAAACACTAATTCGGCATGACACTTCATCGGCCACAAACGACAGCAAACACGGGGTAAAGATCAGTTCAGAAAGGGAGCCACTTCGCGCTGCCACACCGCCAAAAGGTTAAACCGCCAAGCCAAACTTGCTCGCCGAAGGCCTTGGGAACGCTCGGAACCAGTCGGATCCTCCAGTGGATACGACCGCAGCGCCGCCGCGTACATCCGGGACCTTTCTACGCTCACCGCTCGTTGGCGCCTGATCCGACAACACCTTCCTAGTACGCGCCGCCTTTTCCACTGCTTAGTGGCGGATTATGTCGACGGGTCATTTCTTGTTTCCGTACTTTCTTAGCTGCATTTTTTTTTTTTCTGATCTAAAATAGTGAACAAAAACTACTTTTATAAATGATCGAAACGCTTCGCGCCACTTATATTTTGTATTTCGAATAAAAAGAAGCTTTTAGCGGCTCTGACCGGTAGTAAGGCCAGGACCAAAGATGTCACATATCGCGCGCTTTCGGCACCGCGGGTCGCCCCTGTAGGTGGGCGAGGTTTCCGCGTTGTCCGGTTAAAATATGATGCACTGATATTTAGTTACTCTCTCCGTGCCCACTGGCTTGCCCGAACGCTGAGGGGACGTGGAAACCGAAAAAGGCAGACGCTTAAATGTGATTGCAGAGCCCCTTTAAGTGTTGCTGCCCTTTGCAAGGCAATACTACAAAGGTTTGACTGTCCTCTAAGCCTCCATTGTACAGCATGCTTTTTGACGTCTTTCTCCGCGTTTGGAAAGGGGGGCAAAGTTGGGAGGTCGATGTCACGAAAACATGCACACGGAAGTGACGTCACACAGATATCGCCGCGCTCCCTGACGGCGCGTCCGGTGCCGAAAAGCGCGCTAACCGCGCAGAGCACATCCTTTCTTATCTGATGACTTGCTCGCTTCAACGCGACGCGCTCCTGTCTGATCGAAACGGCGACAGAGGCCGCTACGGCAGCCGTGATTCCACAACCTTCGCTCGCTTGCCGAGCTCGCGTGCTCTGCGGCAAGGGCAGCTCAGGCAACTCTCTCGCGCGACTCGGCGAAGTGTTAGAAACAATCGCACGCTATTCCGCATATGCGCCTCGGAGACGGCGGGGCGGGGGCCTGCACGTTGGTCTCTACCGTACTCCGAGCCACGGACATTCTCTTGCGCACCCGACAAAGTCGTGCGGCAGGAGCCCGTGGACGTTTCTTCAGCTGCGGCCGTGGTTCCACGGCAGCAGCTGAAGGTGCCCACCTATGCACTCACCAGACATGTACGCAACGCGTTACAAGTGAAGGAAACACTTCTACCTAGTTACTATTTTCGGTAACGAGTAACGTATTCAGTTACTTTTTTTAGAAAAGGAACGAGTAACGTATTTAGTTCCTTTTAAGGCCAAGTAACGAGTAACGGTATCTCGTTACTTTTGAGGAGTAACGTGTACGACACCGCTTAAACGGCCTTGTTTTTATTCAAACCTAAGTATGTGTCTACCGGGAGAACAGTGGCAACCCGAAAAACAACTAGACAGTATGCCAGTACAGCAACGTATATCGCTGAACACGTCAGTCGAACAGTTCGACTGACGTGTCCAGTGATAAACGTTGCTGTACTGAGCTCTACAGCTGGGAATGTCCTTCACCCAGCGAACACAATAAAGTTTGTTGGTTGAACCTTTTCGAACCGGGTAGGGACCGAATGTAAACCCGGAGGTTGCGAAGGGGGAAGACGTAGCTGATGAAAACGTCGAGAGGCAGCTACTGCCAAAAGTGCAAAGATTGCTAAAAAGAAAACAATAAACCACCAAACAAAAACATTGTGTATTTGGTCGTTGAAGTAACGTGAAAAGTAACTCGTTACTTTTGAGGTAACTCACGCCTTCCTTTTGAAAATCGGTAACGAGTAACGTATTTGGCCACTTTTTGGACGAGTAACGGTATTTAGTTACTTTTTGGGGGTAACGTGTACATGTCTGACACTAACCAATTTTGTTTATATATAAAGAAAATATAGTTGCAACTTTTTTTTTTTTTTTAGAAAAATAGTTAACCCTAAACCGGAGGAGCAGCCCATGCATTATGACCTCCTAATACACGATAGTCCTAGGGAATGAATTCCTCGCAGTGTCTCAAAGTCAACGGAATTTCCTTTTTCTTGCACTTCAGTGAGCATAAAACTCACGTATCCATGGCTATCTTCAAAACTATAACGTCAATGCAAGTGACCATACACGTGACCATGAAAAAAAGCCAGACTTTGAGCAGTAAATACTGCTTTGGAATACCTGGGCCTCGTAGATTTCAGTTTCAGTAGATATCTTGGCAATTATAAATACCTAGAGTGTCTCAATGTCACATGAAGGCACCCTATAATTACCTTGTCAGTTTCCATAAACTGTCTGCCCTATAACAAAGTACGATTTTGTTTATGTGGAACATTAGTTAAAAATACGGATGGGACTGCAGCTTGAAACACAGCCTTGTCTAGTGCTGTATCATATCATGGCTCCCCCTTAACTATGAATAAATGATTTGTATTGTTATTACTGATACAAAACCTGTTCCCAATGAGCTCAAGTGCGGCCCACCTGGTATAAAAGTTGTAGGAGAGAAAAATAGCAAATAAACCCTTGGGCGATGGTGCGGCCCTGGAAAAAGTGGCTATCCAATTATTTTACGAATCGTCTGTGCACAGTCATTTCACGTGAAGAGATCGTTTGTTTTTTGCTTGTTCTTCTCCCGAGTCATTTCTAATACTTTGACATGTACAGTCTTTCTTAACGTCAGCACTGCACGAATATGCGTGGACTTCAGCAGAAGGTCCTCCCCCCTCTTTCCACCTAAGCAGAGCGAACGCTAAAGAGGAGGTCACCCCCTCTCCAGCGTTCGCTCTGCTAAAATAGATCAGTCGGCGGACTCCGCGAAATTTGGGTTCTCACAAGTCTAGAGCCCGTGATGAAACCAAATGAAACACGCCAGTCAGCACCGCCACCCGCCCGCCTCTCTCTTTCCCTCTTCCCTCCCTTTCACAAGTAAAGCTTCCGTAGCCTTTTGCCACCTTTGTTTGCACGCGCACGTGGAAAATGACGCCAAAATGACGAATCATCGAAGTAAGGACGCATCCCCACTGCGACATACTCCAGCCAGGCGCATTAATATATATATAACACCGTTCCCGGAAAACTGATGATTCATCGGTCGCGCACCGACGAACGCGGCAACAATAATACCGATCCTCCCACGCAACGCCGACGGACATCGAACCGTTCAAACAAATAGCAGCGAGAGAACAAAAGCCAGTTGCACACCCGCGCCCCCCAAACGAAGGGATGTGCACAGAACCACAAGAACAATGGCCGGAGAACGGTTGCGTCACCGTCCCGACCAACGCGAGACGTGGGCACACTACCGATGGTCAGACCACCTACCCCTACTACCCGGTAATACTTCCTCCTAGTTTCTCCAAGCGGCCTAGATATATGGAAAACGCGTACTCGTCGAGGTACTCGGAATGGCACAGCGAGTCGGGAGAAGCTGACAGAGCGGTAAAAGCTACGTGCTCGTTGGAACAGTCCTTCCTTTTTCGCCACGTGGTCACCCTTCCGCCCCTAGCCACGCGCAGAGAGCGGGCTCAGGTGAGGCAAAGGGAAGCAGTTGATTGGTCCGGCGAGCTCCTAGCTCCCACCGCACTGTCAGCTTGGGGGCAGAGCACACAGACACAGGAAGTGAGCGGCGTCGGTTGCTGTGGGAGCGGAACAGCGGAAACTTGCCTGCCTGCTTGCCCATAGCTGCGATTTCCTTTCGTTTCGACGGACGCGAGGTTGAATCAGAGAGTGTACACGTGTGACGACATTTGAACACGCGGGAAAGTAATTCGGGGCTCCTCATCACAATTACAGTACTTTCCAACTCTTCCGGGATTAGTCGGATTTCGCTGGTTGGAAAAGGTGCGCTGTACACATCCTTTTCATTTTTTTTTTTTTTTATGTTGTGAACAGATTTGTTGAAGCTTCATATTTCGAAAGCCTGTTGTTTGCTTATTGTCTTTAATTTACGATTTAACGTACTGGACGTTTGAGAACAGTGAACAAAACGACAAGGAACTCGCCTTGCTCGGGGTGTGCGAAAGGATTCTTCGACTTGAGAAATTCCTTTCCTTGACAAGACAGTTTTTCAAACAAGGCTGATTTCGTTGCTTGCCCTTATTTTACACTTTCTTTTATCTTTTTGAAGATCTAGGTAGTGAATTATAAAAAGGTCCCGATACTTCGAAACATATGTTACGTTGGTACAGAAGCCTATAGCTCTCGCAATGGCCACCACTCCCAGTTTGAAAGAACCAGAGCTTAAAACGTGAACAGCCGAAGAACGATGCTTCACATCTTGGGAGTATAGAAACTTA